TTGAACTTCTGATTCCCCCTGCCTCAGCTTTCCAAGCTGCTGGATTAGTCTTCCCAGCTCTTTGGCTATTTTAATCCCTCAATATTTTATTTTTCAATTATTATTGTAATCAGAATTGCTTTTGTAATTTTCCTTTTCAGATTTCTGTCTTTGATTTGAAAGTATAAGCCTTTTGTAAATATTTACATTACTGAAAAGGAAGGACTTCTCTCTCTTTGCTGTTTTCTATATTATAATGTCTTTTGTGGGGCTGGGGTTGTACTCAGTGATAGAGCACTTGCCCAGCACATGTGAGCACTGGGTTTGATCCCCAACACCACATAAAACTAAATAAACAAAATAAAGGTATTGTATCCATCTATAACTAAAAAGTGAATAAATGCCTTTTTTGGTCCTTCATTCCCTGTATTACTGTCTTCTTTTAGACATAATTTTTTGGTAGTGAAATATTTGAATTTCTTTTCTACTTCCTTTTGTGCATAACTGTTTTCTCTGTGATTATGATGGAGATTACATTAAACATCATAACAAGGTAATATTCTAATTTGAATTTATACCAGCTTAATTTTCATACAAAAATTGCTGCTTACAAGACCATCCCCACCTCACTCCTTTCCCTTGTCACAAAATTACAGCTTTATATACTGTGTGACCAAAACCTACACTAATATTTGCCTGAAGGCATTAGTATATTAAACAATGTATAAAACAAAACATGAAGTTACAAACTGTGTATAATAATAATAAAATAATAATAGCTATCAGACTAACAACTGTGATTTTCAAATATATTAGAGTTCTGGAAATAACCCAGTGTACCAGAACTGGCCACCCAAAACAAAAGGTGCTATGACTGAAGAACCAGGTGGGCAAATCCAGGATCATACAAAATGCAACTTATTAGGGACTCAGGCAGAAGCAAGATACCCCAGGACAAGAGGAACGGGCTTATATGCTAACCTAGCCAAACAGAATACACCTGGGCTTTCTCGGAAACTATTAACACAGCAAGTGTCAGAGACAGTCCAGGCATTAATTCCTGGTACAATACATGGTCTTATTATCTTATTTATCCTACAGGTTTTGGAATGTATGCCAGGAGCACCCGATAGACAAGACAGTGGTTATCACCAAGATGGCTGTAGTAATGTCAAATTGGATCCTGACAATTAGCATCATAAATCATGTTATTGTCCATGATTACAATAATACTAGCTTTTATAATTACCCAGGTATTTACCTTTATTGAAATCTTTATCTCTTCCTATGGTTTCAAGTTACTGTGTTGTAATATTTCACTTCTCTTTGCTGGGCTCCATTGAACATTTCTTGCAAGCCAGGTCTAATAGTAATGACTTTTATCTTACTAGATAAAGAAAAAAATTTAACCCTCAATTTTGAAAAACAGTTTTGCCTGCATATAAAGATACATTATGGCAGTGAGCATGTGGCAGAGGAACTCTGTTCTCTTCATAGCAGCTGGGAAGGAAAGAGTGAAAGGAGTTAGGGTCCCAATATCTCCTCTAAGGGCATATTCCTAGTGACATAACTTCCTTCCACTAGGCCCCACTTCATAAAAGTTGTATCATCTCCCCAAAGTGCTACAGGACAGTGACCAAACTTTCAACACATGTCCTTTGAGAGACAATTAAGATCTAAAATGTAGCACTGGATCATTGACTATTGGCCACCATTGATTTATCTTGAGAAATCTGATAATCTTGTGGAGGATGGATGCCTTATATGTAACAAGTCACCTCTCTTGCTGCTAACAGGATTCTATTTTTTATTTTGAAAATTTGATTATAATGCATTGTAATGTGGGTCTCTGAGTTCATCTTACTTGAATTTCACTGAGCTTTTTGAATGTTTATATTCACATATTTCATCATATTTGGGATGTAGCTTAGTGATAAAATGTTCCTTGGTTCAATTCCCAGTTTAAAAAAAAAAAAGAAAAGCAGTTTTAAGAAAACTCCAGGGCTGGGGATGTGGCTCAAGCGGTAGCGCGCTCGCCTGGCATGCGTGCGGCCAGGGTTCGATCCTCAGCACCACATACCAACAAGGATGTTGTGTCTGCCGAGAACTAAAAAATAAATATTAAAATTCTCTCTCTCTCTCACCCTCTCTCACTCTCTCTTTAAAAAAAAAAGAAAACTCCACACACTAAGAAAGCACAGAGAAACAACTCAGAAATATATCAGAAAAATTTAACAGACTGAAATAACTAAAAAAACCCCCAGAACTACTGAAGTTGAAAAACACAATAGCAAAATGAATTACATATTAGCACCAACATCAAAATGATGAAGCACAAGAAAGTCAAAGAACTTGAAGATTGGCCTACTTGAAAACACAAGAGAATAAAAAAGAGAATGAGAATGAGTGAAGAATGCTTACAGGATCTGTGGGACATGATCAAAAAATAAATCTATATATATGTCATTGGTATCAAAGAGAGGCTTGAGAATGACAAAGTGGTAGAATGTTTATTTTAAAGATTAACAGAAAACTTTCCAAACCTGTAAAAAGATACAAATATCAGGTATCTAGTATAGGAAGGCCAAAGTTCACCAATCAGATTCAACCCAATAAGACTATCCCAAGATAAAAAAAAATTTTGATACATTAAAAACAAAAAGTCAGGAATAAAAACCTACTGATAGAGAAACCACTTAACCATAAAGGAGGACAAAGAAAGGAACAAAAAGATCTACAAAATAACTAGTAAACAGGGAGTAATATAATAGTATCAAATATTATCTATCAATAATTTTTTGAATGAAAATCAATCTACCATTAGTCTTAGAACTTTTCCAGACTCTCTGCCCATTACCTATTTCCAAAGCTTAGCTTCTGCATTTTTAGGCACTTGTAATAGCAATACCCTAGTTCTGATTACCAAAACCTTTTGTTAGTCTGTTTGAGATGCCATAGCAAAGTCTTATACACTATACGACTTAAATAACAGATAAGTATTTTCTTACAGTTCTGGAGGTTGTGAAGTCCACAATCAAGGTGCTAGTAGATTCAGTTCCTGGTGAGGGCTTTCTTCTTGGCTTGTAGATGCCCGTCTTCTTTTGTTCTCATGTGGCCTTTCCTTGGTGTGTGAGCATGCAAAGTGAGATGTCCCTTAGAAGGTCACTATCTTCACGCAGAAGATCACCATCCATTTTAGATCAAGATCAATTATTTATGTCTTTATTCAACCTTGGTTACATTCTAAAAGGCCTATCTCCAAATACAGCCACACTGCAGGTTAGGGCAGGAATGTGGCGAAGCAATCACAACCACAAACTCTCCATGCATCCCTTACATACATACTAGTTTAATGCTATTCACCAGTAAACAGAAGTGGGATTACTTTCTTAGGAATAGATAAGTTCAGGACAGCAATAAATTGGAAAGTATCATCTTGAATTTGAACAAACATAAAGTTTAAATGTAGAATAAGGAAAATTCAGAAAGGATAAAGGGACAAATGAAAATGGAAACAAATGGTGAAGTTTCATATTTTTGAGCACCAAACTACAGTAAAAACAAGGACAATAATGAACACAAACAGCATCAGTTTTATTGGCTTTTAGGGTTCGTATAAAATTCAAAGAAAAATGTTAATATATGATAAAAATGTGGCTATAATTAAAAAATAAGGGAAATACAACAAGGATACATTTCACTCATTCACTTGTCATTTATTCAAGAGGGACTTCAAAAATTAAATGCCAAGAAATTTAATGGCTATTTTGTTTCTACCATCAATTTTATGTCTATATACAGTTTATATAGCTCATTGCTTTCATTTCCTTAATTTGGAAATGAAAAACTCATACACAAAGGAATACATGACAAGTAGTCCTAGAGTACTATGCCCAAAAAATTAAGCAGCCTGGATATTAACTCAGAATGACCACGGAGAATAAAATCCAAGAGTAAATCAGTAGTGGTGGTCACACAGTAATTCAATAAATAGTGTTCACTCTTTTCAAAGATACAAAGTAGAAAATTACCGTAATACCGAAGTACATCACAGACTCATTTTCTTACTGTGTAGGACATAAACTAGCCACCAACTACATGTACAAAAAAACATGTATAAAATACTCATAAAGAAATACTTACAGAAAACATAGCTTAACATATCCAATGAGAAAGTTATTACTACTGGTGATCATGTGAAACTTTGAAAAGTACCCAAGGTCTGGGAAACATGTCAATTGAAAATCTAATGAATAATGGTGACATAAAGTTATCTAAATATAATGGTTAAATTTTCTTCTTAAAAAAAATCTAAAAACCAGTGACTCATGATCTCATTTGATTGCATAACTTTGTCAATTGTCAAACAGACAATTTGGGTCATGTAAGATTACTAAAATAGGGCTGGAATTCTACTTATAGCTCAGTGGTAGTGTACTTGCCCAGCATGTGTGAGGCACTGGGTTCGAACCTCAATACTAAATAAAAAGTAAGTAAATAAAATAAAGGTATTGCGTCCCTTTACAAATAAAAATATTTTTTAAGAAAGACCCTAAAAAAAGAAAGGTATACTATTTAACTCATTTGTTTATTTGTTGGTGCTGGAATTTGAATCCAGGGCCTCAGCATGCTAAGTATGAGCTCTACCTCTGATCTACTCCCCTAGCCCCAAAATACTGATTATTGAACTCTGGTAATTCTGAGAGGAAATAAAAAGAAAGGATCTACACAAAAACAATTGAAACCATGGTAATATATACTTGTAAACCTTAATTTAAGTTCAGTGATCAGATTATAGACACTGCAGTAGTTAAGGGTGCTAAACAAGTTTAAAAGACTAGTTTAGACCTAGGCATGGTGGCACACACCTGTAATCTCAGCAACTCGAGAGACTGAGGCAGGAGGATGGAGAGTTCAAAGCCAGCCTCCACAAAAGCAAGGTGCTAAGCAACTCAGTTGAGACCATGTCTCTAAATAAAATACAAAATAGGGCTGGGGATATGGTCAAATGCCTAAGTTCAATTCCCCGTACTCACCCCCCCAAATAAGAAAAAAAGGCTAGCTTAGTAATTTTCATCAAATATATCAAGATGTTCCTTTCACTTTAATCCTGGCTGGTACCACCTAGAGATAAAAGGCTCCTTAATAGAATTGTTTTATGATAGATATTTAAAGGAATCTGCTGTGTCAAAACAAAATAGAAATTTAAAAATAAATCAAACAACTGATGAAAATGGAGAGGTGGTTACACATCTATAAATAAAAAGCAATAGAAACAAAAAGAAAATTTAACAAGGCAGGGTCATAGACTTTAAAACTATGTTTTATTTAACTGGGAGCTCTATCTGTGTAGATGAAGAAAAATATATCAGATAGAGAAGCAAATAATTATAACACAAAAAGGATATTTTATTAATATTACAAATGATAAAAATGACAAAACAATGAAAACATAAACACCAAAAGCAATTAAGAGAAAATATATGGACAAGAAACTCACAAAATTAACTGAAACCACTAATTATTAGATGAACATGTATTCCACAAATTTCAGAAATGATGAAGAGACCATCATGAGTCAATAAAGAATGAGACTATTAATATAAAAACAGAAATTTTTGGCAGTATTTAACAAAATTATAAAGGTATACATGTCACCAATGATTGAAAACTTTTTTGAAACACAGAATGACCATGAAGTCTGGGAACAGACTGTAAAAGGAGAGGGATATGAATCATCCTTGATTATATTTTATATCCTCAAATTTTTTTCCAGTGAAAATCACAAGGAAAAGGCCCTCACATACTCATTTCATTCAAATAAATACTCATTTCATTAAAAAATAGTAGAAATTTTTCAAGTAATATTCTCACCCACACTAAAGGCATTCCTGCATTCCTTACATTCATAGGGTTTCTCAGCACCATGAATTCTCTGATGTTTTGTAAAAGATGAACTATGTCTAAAGGCCTTCCCACATGCCTTGCATTCATAAGGTTTCTCTCCAGTATGAATTCTCTGAAGTTCAGTAAGGGCTGAACTATGTCTAAAGGCCTTCCCACAGATCTTACATTCATAGGGTTTTTCACCACTGGGAATTCTCTGATGTTGAATAAGGGCTGAAGTAAGTCTGAAGAACTTACCACACTCCTTACATTCATAAGGTTTCTGACCACTGTGAATTCGCTAATGTCGGGTAAGTTCACTGCCTACTCCAAAAGCTTTCTCACATTCTTTACATTTATAGGGTTTCTCACCAGTATGGATTCTCTGATGCCTAGTCAGGGATGAACTATTTCTGAAGACCTTTCCACATGACTTACATTCATAGGGTTTCTTACCTGTATGAATTCTCTGATGTCGAGCAAGTTCTCTACAGATTCCAAAAGCCTTCCCACATTCCTTGCATGCATAAGGTTTCTCACCAGTGTGAATTCTCTGATGTTCAATGAGTTGTGAACTAATTCTAAAAACCTTCTCACAGTGGATACATTTGTATGGTTTCTCACCAGTATGAATTCTCTGATGTTCAGTAAGCTGTGAATGAAATCTAAAGTCCTTGCCACATTCCATACATTTGTAAGGTTTCTCATCAGTATGAATTTTCTGATGTTGAATAAGTTGTGCATACACCCTAAAGGATTTCCCACAGAATGTACATTCATAGGGCTTTTCACCATCACAAATTCTATGAATGGGAGTAATTTCTCCAACATTTCTAAAGATCCTCCCATATGCCTTACACTTATAGAACTTCCCAATGCTATAAATTTTTTTTGGTAAAGACTAAGATCTTCATAGAAACTAAGTTTATTCCCATGTTCCATATATTTACAAGGCTTCACTCCAGTATGAATATTCAATTGTAGTATATGTGAATTATCCATCCCAGAGTTTTTCCAGCATCCATTACATTCATAGGTTTTCTCATCAGTATGTATTATTCTCTGATAGTTATCAAAGTTTGAGTCACAACTGAACACTTGCCCACATTCCTTATATTCATAGGGCTTTGCACCACCAAGCATTCTCTGAGGTAATGTAAGATATTTATAATTCTTATAATTGGGCTGTTTGCCAGAGATGATTTTCATCTTATTGAAACATCTCCATCCAGGTCCTTTTACTTCAATCTTGTTTTTGCTTTGCCAGTCATTTCTGAAAATGGAGCTTTTGAAGTCAATGAGATTGCTATTTTCTGTAACTTCCAACTGAGAACCACTGTTTTCCAAAACATCCTTTCTTACAGATAAAATCTCTGTCTCATACCTAGACTCCAAATCTGAAAAAAAAAGGGAAAAAACAAATTCCCCCCTGTCACAATAATAGAACTCATAGAAAACTGAAAAAACAAACAATATAATTCACAGTAAAAATGAATATTTAGCTGGGCTTGGTGGTAGATGCCTGTAATCCTAGTGATTAAGGAGCTGAGGCAGAAGGATCACAGTTCAAAGCCAGCCTTAGCAACTTCGCAAGGTCCTAGCAACTTAATAAGATCCTGTTTCAAAATAAAAAATGAAAGAGGCTGAGGATGTATCTCAGTGGTAAAGCACACGTGGATTCAATTCTTGGTACCAAAAAAACTAATAAAATAAATAAGTAAATAGTTAAAGTACTGTTATAAAATCTGCAGAAAGAGAATTCAGACAGTGCTAACAGTGAGATTTTTGATAAGGAAACATATTAAGTTACTGGATCTGAAATGTAGATGTTGATCATCTTTGTAAGCTTGTTGTAAGTACTGATGTTGAAGAACCAATCTAGATAAAGTGAATCAAAATATATATATGTAGAACCCATAATTACCATCTTATAGAGCTACTGTTTATGCACATAAAAATTTGACAATATACAGATATCAACAATTTTATTATTAACAATTTACCATAGATAAAAAGGTGCTGCTTATAAGACCTCATTTTACTCAACTTCCTTCGTTTCTTTTAATCTATTTTCACCTCCTAGATAAAAACACATTTCTTACCATTTACACCAACTCAAAGGACATTTCATCTCTCACAAATAATCTCTTTGTATTCCAGTTCCTTTTCATCACCTCAGGTCAAAAGTTAACTACCTTAAGATAGCTGAACCTAAAGTAAATTCATTTTTATATCTTCATTCAAATATCTGGTTCATTGCCTTCATATTTTTCTTTTTCTATTTTAAAATTTTTCTAAAAAAATATTTATTTTTAAGTTATAGTTGGACACAATACCTTTATTTTTTTATGTTGTGCTGAGGATCGAACCCAGGCCCTCACACATGCTAGGCGAGCCCTCAACCGCTGAGCCACAACCCCAGCCCCCTTTAATTTTTAAAAAATATTTATTTTTGAGTCCCCTCACCCCAATTGGAGTAGGGGCAGAGCAGAGCTGCCACC